TCCAGGTAATGCTGTCAAAAACTTGGTAATGAGTCTTCAAAACAAAATCTCTATTACCAAAGGAGAAAGCCCTGCCCTAGAGATAGTCACCAATCCCGTAGACAGGGAACGAAGGGGGAAAGCAAAATGGAAGGATTCTTCGCTTGTGATTTTGGTAGGATTATCTGTGCCTTCCAGAATTTCTTTTCTCATCTCCTTATATTTTGAGTGCACCCGATTTACTTCCTCATCCTTCTACTTATTGAAAGCTTACTGTATATCAGACCCTTTGCAAAATGCTTACCATATTTTACCGCATCTAATCTCTCCAGCAACCTAATGCACACCTTGGCACACAGAACAGACTAAATAAACGGCAGGGCCCAGTGCAAAATGCAAAATGTGGGGTCCTTGGCTCAAAAAAATGTAAAATAGAAAGACTTTTCCTTTCATTTGTGATCTCTCTCTCTCTTAGGGCTGTTTTTTTTTTTTTCCTCTTTTTTTTCTTTTTTCTTCCCTCACTCCCCCCGACCTTTTTTTTTTGCTATGTAGTGTTACTTCCCGTGGGCTGAGAAATGCTCTGACCAGTCAGCACAGCAGCTCACAGAGCCGGGGCCTCACCCATCATGTAGAGTGTGTGCACATGTACAACATGTGGACACTCATCAGCTGCCAGGTGTCCCTTCTTGCCAGTCACTGAACGCACACACGGTACCCTAGTTGGGGGTCAAGGGCACTGAACCAGGCATCTTCATCCATTTCTCCCTCCTACAAGCTCAGCACTCCAGCCAAGACAGGTAAGTTAAACTAGTTATCTGGATCAGGAGTGGGCAAAAGGCTGGCACCAATGGGTGCAATGCACCAAGGTCTGGCTCTGAGATTCTGTGGGATGGGCAAGACCCTCTCCTCACCTGTGCCCACAACCCTGTAGAGGGAGGAGGATCTGGGAGGCCAGAGAGGGTTCAGGGATCAAAGGAACCGGTAGCTAAGAACCACCTACCAGCGCCTGGGCATCAATGGGGAGGTCCTCAGTCCTTCTCCATTGTCATATCCAATTTCACTTACCAATCACAAAATTGGGATAAAATTACAAAGAATTTTAGAATGGTGGTCATAGAACCTTAAATCAAGTGGGAGATCCTGCTGACCATGGAACCCTGTGGGACTGCACTGGTCACATGTCCATGAAATCAGCCCTGCTGGGGTAGAGAACACACCCCGGGCCTACCTACTCCTGTCTCTCCCTCAAACTTTCCTTCACCCTGAGAACCCTGACCACCCCCACCCACTCAACTGAAGGCATGGGGTTTCTTAGACAAAAACGTACCAGATATATGTCCACCAAGGAAAAAAAGAATCATTTTTTGCTCTTATTTCCTTTTTTTTTTTTTTTTTTTAACAAATGAAAAGATTGATGTAGAGAAAGCTTGACACCTGAAACTGATGCTCCATGTGGTGTGTCTGGGTCTAAAACCAGAGTCCTTGGTCTTTTCTATTATGTGGGGCTGCTGGGGTAGCTAAGAGGGGAAAATGCATAAGGAAGGGTACCTTCCATAGCAAATATGATGATATCTGACAATGTTACAATCCTACTTATAATGATTGACTTTTAGGGAAAAAGTAACCAAAACACCCTGACACTTGTAGCAGATGCATATGAAATATTCTCCTCTTGTGTATTATGGTTTTAATGTGAATGCAACATTTATTAGAAGAACAAAAGTATTTTTGAGCTGGTCATCATTAACTTATTAATTACTCACATACGGTATAATTTATAGATGATGCTCTCACTGATTTATACTTTAGAAGGAAGACATACCTACCTGTAATCCTATTCTAGTGATAGTCTTGAAATGCATTGCAAACTTAATCCTTTAATGGCCTTGAAATGCACATGTGTGTCATATTATATAAGCCAATGTATTTTAGAAAAATTTTTTATTCTTTCGTATCAATCAAAACATCAAAAAATCACATTATAGAAAATTTGGAATATAAGGAAAAGAAAGTAGATCACCCATGACCTTTCCAGTCTCACACAACCAGTTGTAATTTTGGAGTATTTTTCTCCTAATATTGTTATATAAGCAACAATATTCAGTTGTACTGCGGTGCTTTGCTTACATAAAAGGAAAATCTAAAGCCAAAGGTAAGAAAAGACCCCACATGATTTTATTATTTTACTTAAGACAGAGACAGGGACTAGATCCTTTTTAAAGATACTTTCTATATTAGAAGTAAAATCATAACTTTTTTTTTAGGTTTACTTATTTTGAGAGAAGAGAGAGAGAGAAAGAATGTGTGCTTGAGCGAGCATGGGAGGGGCAGAGAGAGAGAAAGGGAGAGAGAGAATCTCAAGCAGGCTCCATGCTGTCAGCACAGAGCCCAACATGGGGCTTGATCTCACAATCATCATGAGATCACGACCTGAGCCAAAATCAAGGCTCGGACACTCAGCTGAAGGAGTCACCATGGTGCCACCCATGTGCCCCTAGAAGTGAAATTATAATTTCTTAATTTGAAAAATACTAGAGAGAAAAAAGTAAAAATCTCCCAAAGTTCACCTAAGAAGTAAAAGTTTCTCCCTGTTCCACCCATCCAACTCCATCCCCTAGACTTGACTCTTGAAGTTTGGTATACATCTCACCCCAAATTTTCCAAATCTAGATAGGTGTATATAGATGTACGTGAATACACACACGAATTGTTATAAAATTTGAATCGTACTACAAACTGGTCTGTAACTTTACTTATAACCTAAGCTGGCACTAAAATGTTAAATCATAGGTTTTTTAAAAATAGTATTAATATATTATCTATATTTATATAATGATAATATAAAAATAATAAATATTTATTTTGGGGAGAGTGCAACCAGGGGAGGGACAGAGAGAGGGGACAGAGGATCCTAAGTGGACTCTGCACTGACAAGTTAACAGCAGTGAGAATGATGTGGGGCTTGAATTCACAAATGCTAGATCATGTCCCGAGTCCAAGTTGGATGCTCAACCGACTAAACCACCCCGATGCCCCCTACATCAGTTTGACCTGCCTATGTTTATTAATGTCCATCTAAATAAGCCAAAGGGGCTAAGATATTTTCAGGTCAGAAAACAACATTTCTCACACTGACATAACTAGAGATTTTTTTGTTTGCTTGTTTGTTTTTAATATTTATTTATTTTTGAGAGAGAGAGAGAGCATGAGAAGGGGAAGGGCAGAGAAAGAGAAAGACACAGAATCTGAAGCAGGCTCCAGTCTCTGAGTTGTCAGCACAGAGCCTGACACAGCACTTGAACTCACAAACTGGGAGATCCTTACCTGAGCTGAAGTTGGATGTTTAACCAACTGAGACACTCAGGCGCGCTTGAGGTTGTTTTTTGTTTGTTTGTTTGTTTAACACAAAGACTCTTTTATTAGCTCATCATCAACAGAGCATCCCTCCTAGGCAAAAGAACTTTTGCCTATCTTGTAGCTTCACTAGATCTTCATTTATACCTTCCTGGTAGAACTTACTGCAGACTCTTTGTGTTACAGTTAAATTCATAAATCAGCTATTAGAGAAAAAGCAAACCTAATGTATCTTGTTTCTCCTGTAGTTATTAGAATAGTGTCTTGTACAAAATATGCCTATAGTTAATGTTTGTTGCTCAAACAAGTGCATGAATGACTGATCTGATTTACTTCAAGTTATTTCGCTAACTGTAGTATGCTTTGCACTAATCAGTCCAGATTCTCATCTAGTCTTTCTCAGTAACCAATATTTGACATGACAGTTCAAGTTCAGTTAGTGAGAACTACTGAGACAACCAATAGACCCATAGAGAACACCTTGTTCTCTATCCTGATCATGAGCAGGGGACTTTCATTAGGCATTTTGGCCTTTAAAAATATCCTCTTTCATTTTGAGTAGCTCAAGGTAGTAATAAACTTCTAAAAACTTGACCCCTTTGGGGCACCTGGGTGGCTAAGTCAGTTAAGTGTCCTACTTCAGCTCAGGTCATGATCTCTCCACTCGTGAGTTCAGGCCCTGCGTCAGGCTGTGTGCTGACAGCTCAAGAGCCTGGGATCTGTTTCGGATTCTGTGTCTCCCTCTCTCTCTGCCCCTCCTCCACTCATGCTCGCACGCTGTCTCTCTCTCTCTCTCTCTGCCTCTCGGATTTTGCTTATGCAGATTTTCAAATGTACACAAGACAAAATAGTATAATAAACTCATCCCCAAATTTTAACAATAATCTCCCAGATGTTTACAATCCCCAAAGTGACATGATTTGTTCCCAGAGAATCAAACAGCAGTTCTTGTCAAGCTCCTTTTCAAATGCTAGACAGGCTCTCTGCAAAAGTAAACAGAACAAGAGTCACTTCAAAACAAACGATCTTCAGGAAGTGAAAACCGGAACCACATGTGCACCCTGAGCTGAGGCTTTCAGTGCAGGACAGGCTTTAGGTTTTGGCATATTGTTTGCAAAACAGAGCAGGAGAATACAGAGTCAGGAGCAGGAATGCCTGCATGCGATGAAGGCTGCTGCGTGGCCCGAAATCCCCTGGACCCTCTGCAATGCACAGAGAGGGGATGAGGTGTACTCTTTGCCCTCAAGGGACCCATACATTTGTTCGTAGGAAATAATAAGCTATTCAATTACCAGAAGAAATGGATGCATTTAATTGGATAAACCAGAAAGAAATTATTGCAACGGTGTTGAATCATTTATATCCTCTGTATTTTTGTTTCAGTCCAAGCAAAAATTTTTCTTATTTTCAAAGTACTAAGTGACATATTAGGGATAAACACATAGTTCAGTAGAAAATTCCAAATTTCCTATCTTTAACTATTAACAAAACTGTTTAAAACTAAAAAAATAAAACATAAAAACTCATGTAATGCATATGTTACCAACAATGTTTTCATTTCTGTTGTAGTCCATGAGCGATCTTAGGCATGCTAATATATGAAAGAACAAGTAACTTCTTTTCAGTTGACTTATCTGCAGCAAAATCTTATAGAAACTATTCCTCACCTTATTCTATTAGCATCAATTCACTCTGGCTTGAACGGATTAGAAGCTCAGCCCACTGTTGGAAGAAAAGAGAGAAAAATGGAGTGGAATCATGAGACTTATCCAATTTCTGCTCCACGTTATGGAAGTGTGGCCCAAGGAACCAAGAGCAGAGACATTCCCCGAAAGCTCATTAGAAATGCAGTAATGAAGGCTCACTTAGTTCTACAAAAGCACAATTTACATTTCGATAAGATCCCCCACTGATATGCCCATTCAAGATTGAGAAGCATTGCCTTAAACTTTGTTTTATCTCTAGGTGGTGACTGTGACCACAATACAACTATCTTTGTATATAACTATTTTGCCACCTTTCTGATAATATGGTCTCTCTTGATTAGAGAATCAGGTTTCACATACCTTTTTTGAATGATATATATCCTCATAGATACATTTGATTTAGTAATATTTTGTATATACATCTCGAGCTAAAAGCCTAGCCCTTTTCCTGACCCCCTTTAAAGTTAATATTTAGGGTTAAGACCTTTGATTTCTAGAAATCAGAAATCTAAGCTGGAAAAGAAAAGAATTTCACATTTCTTTAACAGTCAAGAGATTCATCCATGCTGCTCTATCTCAGCAAGAGAAAAAGTAAATACTAAAACCAAATATTAGATATAATAATTGGAAATATTGCCACTAGCATAATCTAAACTAAGACATTATAAAGACACATACACATACAATTTCATGGCATCTTTCATAGCCATTTTGTATAGAGAAGTTATGAATTTAACCTTTAAAAGCTTTCAGTTTCTGAATATCTGCAAATTACTTTCAATTGGAGAATTATGAGAAGGCTAAAGTACTTCCCATTTTATTATATTGGGCCCTTTAGTAAACTCTGGCTTTGAAAATTATTTAAAATGTTGATAAAATATTTTCTATTTAACTATTCCTACATACCTTTGACTTAAGCAACATTATAATACAGATAAACAATTTAGCTTTGTCCTTGTATATGGGTTAGAATATATGTGTCACAAATGCCTTTACAAACCCACAAAATATTTAACACATCTCTCCCAATTTACCACTTTTTTGTATTTTTGATTTTTTTTAATGCTTTATTTATTTTTGAGAGAGAAAGAGCACAAGTGGGGGAGGGGCAGAGAGCGAGGAAGACACAGAATCCAAATCAGGCTTCAGGCTCTAAACTGTCAGCACAGAGCCCCACACAGGGCTTGAACTCATAAACTGTGAGATCATGACCTGAGCTGAAGTCAGGCGCTTAACTGACTAAGCCACCCAGGCACCCCTTTACCATTTTTATTTAAATACACACACACACACACACACACACACACACACAATCTAATCTCAGTAAACTAACAATTCCTTTGGAAAACTAATTTGGAGTAGAAATGAGAGGAAGTGGCAGACCAGAGAAGAGTATGGCTTGGGTAATGGGCCAAAGAACAGACCAAATATTGGGTATGTGGTTGACTCTAGGATGGGGAGTGGGGGTAACGAAAGAGAGAAAACTGTCCCTCTTCCTTCTTCTCTCCACACCTTCCTCCCCTGCGCCCTCTCCACCATCAGGAACAAGTCCCATACTCTTAGCTCAAGGACTCCTCTCCTCACCACTCAGGAAAGGCCAGAACATATCTTTAGACTGTTCCCAGCAATTTGCCACTGGTAGATTATTAGGGACTATCCTAAAAGACAGAAACGCCTAGCGGTCTCAGCTTTAAATTAATTATATTCATGTTTTTAACACAGGTCACAAAACCACAGGTATGATCTTAGTAGTTAAGAACCTCTCTGAAGTTTTATTATAATACATATCTACTTAGTATGTTTGATTCATAAACATAAGAGCAATTCAGCATTGGACTTGCCAAAACTTAGGCTGCCTCAGAAAGAAAGATGATGGAATAAGGCAGACCCAAGACTAAGATATGAAACTAAGTTCATCATGGTTCCAGAGGCCTTGGGCAGAAGTCTAAGTGAGACCTTCCAGAAAGGACCTGGAGAGGCCCATGTTAGCCTCCATGAACAGAGGAACCCAGATCTGCAGTAGGCAGCAGCAGGCACTGTAATCAGGGAGAGTCTTCCAGGACAGCCAGGTGGTAGCATTCTTCAGAAGTATTTGTCTTATTTTGGTAAATATTTGGGAAACTGGAACATAGATATCCGAGGCTCTGATAATAGTTTCTAATAGTTTTTCCTAAGAAATACTTGGCATCTTTGCTCCTTTTGCTTTTCTTATGCCAAAACCCTCTCAAATTTTAAAGTCTCTTCTCCAATCTGAGATCATCTTGACAGACTCACAAGCTGTAATGAGACATTTCCTCCTCCTGACAGACCCATGTGTTTTTCATCATAAGCAATGGTATCAAAAAAATAATTGTGTTCTTCGACATTATTTGTGAAGTCAGTGTTTCACTTCCCTTATTCATGTTTCTGTTCCAAACTCTTGACTTTCAAAAGCAGGAAGAATTTTTTTTTTTTAATTCTGTCCATATGCTGAAACTGTTCGGTTTCTACATTTGAATTAAAATTTACAAGACACACATTCTACTTCTTTTTCTCAGTGGTATCATTTTTTTCCTGGTGTAGTAGTAGAAGCATGTAGAAGTTGGTGGGTGGTAAGAATCTTGACACATCTCACGATTCGCCATGGACACCATGCCAAAGATCACTATTATTCTGTAGAATAATTCTGCCTCATCAAAAGGTAAGAGTTCATATTTTATGAGAAGAGCCTTATCTGACTCCTAAAGTAGTTTCTTCTTCAACTTTTGCTCTGTGATATAACACGTTCATTCACTTGCCAGCACTTTAACCTTAATACTTGTTTTCCTACACATCCTCAAACTATTTACTGTGTTGTTGTTTGTGGGTCTTAATATTTTGTCTAGGAGCTCTTCATCCTCCCAAATAAATGGGAGTAAACCCAGTTCACTCCTCAAAACATTTTTCAGTATTTTGTTGTGTTTTCCTCTATCATGTAATATTAACATATTTTACATACTCTATCACGTCATATTTTTAAGCTTTCCATAGGTCACCAAGCTTTTCTTCTGTCCCAAAAGATTATATTCTCTTCAGAATGTATTATTTTTAACTACCACCGCAACCACTGTCATCACTACAGAGCCTAACATACTGATGACATCAGACAGAGAGCTAACAGTGTTTACTGAATTACAAAATGAACCAAGACCTATTTCTTTTGTGGCCATAATTCTTTTAACTGCAAATGGATTATAAACTTGTATAGTAGAACACTGCTGCAAACTCTTGAGTTACAGGGGATCCCTTTGAACTGTGTCTACCTCTAGGGTCCAAAAACTAGTAATCTTCTTGTGTATTAGAAATTAGCACATCATCACCCACTGAGCCCAAACTCCTTCACTAACCACAATAGCACCCTCATATTTTTACCAGCAATGAAACAAAATATTTCATTCACCTCTTCCTGCTATTATCTATATCTCTTTTGCTTCCTGATTTGGGAATATGAGAGTTTTAGGAATGCTGGTTGAAAGCCTTGTCTGGCTATTTTACCATCCCTTGATTCCTCCTGTTAGAAATTATCTTTTCTTATCTTTTGAGAGAAAGAGAATCCGTGAACACCTGCATGCCTCCAAGCAAGAAAGGGGCAAAGGGAGAGGGAGTGAGAGAATCCTAAGCAGGCTCCACCCACAGCCCTTCCAAAGGCTGTTTCACAACCTTCAGAGCCTTACCTGTGCCAAAATCAAGAGTCAGATGTTTAACGGACTGACACTGAGCCACCAAGGGTCCCTCCGGTTAGAAATTCTTTATTTCTAATTTAAGAAAATATTAGATTCCAAGGAGTAAATAAATTTATACTCTACATTTGCATAATCAAAGTGAAACAGAAAACAAAATTAAAAGTCCTGTGTAACATTTTGGTAATTTTATCTTGGTTTTAAATATCTTTAAAAGTCTTTTCATAGTTGCATAATAACAACAGGGGAATAAAGATTAACGGATTCTTAAATGGGGACAGAAATACAGCGTGTAAACTGTTGCAGTTAGAATTGGAAATCAAACTCCAAGGCAACCATAATTCAATAAATGCTAAATATCAGCAACATACTGTTCACTGAAAGCTCCTTTTTATCCATAAATCTTTGCAAAAATTATTCGTCCTTGAACTTATAGAACCTAGCATGGTGTCTAGCTTGTAATAAATAAAATAACTCAATTATACATGGCATTGAATCAGGTACTAAGGAGAGCTATGACAGGAATTAAGAATATTTACTTATTACGAAATCTTCAGTTTTAACAGAGCTGCAATATATAACAAATGTAACATAAGCATTAGAGCTTATATTAATAAGATTGGATACAAAATTAGGTTCCTTATTGAAAAACTTCTTAAGCATTCAAGTGCACTAAAAACGGTAGATATAGGGAGCAGAATTAACCAAATTTAGCTTCCCGTGAATTTCTTTCCCTACCCTTCCAAAAGAATACTTATTAATATCTCTCAAGAAAACAGTACTCCATTAAAAACCTTTCAGAAAGTGATGAATTAATATAATGGCAGTGACAAAACAAGACAAAATTAAGCAAGAGACAATTCATGGACAGAAGTCCTGAATTGAGTTTTGACATGTTTGGAGAAGACGGCAAAAGGCATCAGAAGACAAGACTAACACCAGGTCTTTAACTCTCATAGGGAAGAGTTGCAAAGAATTAAGTAGAAATTAGCCTAAGTGTAGTGGTATCAGTAAATCAAAGCTAACAAGGAAAGAGTATTTAGGTAGAATTTACCTAATGGTAAATGAAGAGCAGTTCTAACCTTTAAAACAGAGGTTATGCAAGGATTGTGCTTGTGGGTGTAATTATATTGTTGTGATCATTGGTACATATTCATGTACCAATTCATGTCAAATTATAAAGACATGAAAAGGATGTTTGCTACTTAACCTAAGTAATATTAATCTAGCACCATGTCTTGCTGCTTCAAAAATGGCTTTCCTTATCTGTTGGAGAGACTAAAGTCCTCTTCTAAATTGAGGGTCCATTTGGAAGAGT